TTGCAGTTTTTACCCCCTGCAGGCAAAACCGTTGACGCTAGGTCAAATCTGAGAGAATTACTCAGAAAGAACGCTAATAGGGCTATCGAATGCGCTTTTCCGCAGCGCTGTAGCTCTATTGGTTCCCGAGTTATGCGTTGGCTTCTTGGAAATTGTCGACATTCGACCTGGAAATCGGCGAAATTTTGCCTTCAATGACCTCTGGTGACCTGACCTTTGACCTGACCAAAAAATTGACCGAAGTGATTTCGTCATTATTTTTTATGCTCTTTCGAACGCCGCCTTCCGCGTATCGCTACGTGGCCCAGGAGCCGAGTTAGAAGGGGGGGTGTTTGAACACCCCCCCCCCCCAGCAGGGCGTGGAAATCCAGGACCCCCAGCAGGGCGCGGGTTAAGCATTGAAACCACTGACAATGTTATCTGAATAGCCTTGCAATAAATGCAGTGGGATTTTCTATCTTTAAAAACATTGCAAAAAGCAATAATCAGAACACATCGGCAAACAAAAATGCAAAAATTAGTTACACTTTCAACAGAAAAGGCAAGGTTTTAGATAAGATGCATTAAAAATGAATGAGATAATGCTATATTTAGTACACTTTAAAATGCAGCTCAGTTCTTTTAAAAATAAATTCAACTGTTTTAAAATCGTCGTCAGTTGTTTTAAAATCGTATTCAATTCTTTTAAAACGGAAGTCATGTGTTTTAAAACCAAGTTCAACAGTTTTAAATCACAGATCAGCTTTTTTAAAATGGAGTTCAACTGTTTTAAATCGCGGCTAAAAAGGTGTAGTTGGTCTTGAAATAAACATACAAACACTGGGAAAACACGTGAATAATAACAGGATGCACACTTACTAGAAAAAGCCTGTAAAATGGGTATAAAACACACTAGTAAAATATCTAATACAAAAATATAGGCAGGTAGGTAAAAATACAGTTAATGACATGTAAAAAATTGCATAGATTAGGTGCAAACAGTACCTAAAGCAGAGATAAAGCTTTACAAAAACACGAATAGTAAACTAGACTAAGATATAAAATATCAAAATGATAAATTCTATAAATGAACTTCCGTCCGGCGATTCTACCTTTTCGTGACGTCAGCTCGTGACGTCATTTGGAGTCAAGTCTCGAAGCCCCGTTCAATCCCCATATAAATGAGCGATTTTCGAAGCACTGTAGAATGAAGTCTGCACAAGATATATCAAACCTAAGTATCTTATCTGAAAGAGCAGACAATTTTCTGCAAGTTATCTATTACGTGTTTTTCGCTAAATCTTTTGCTTTTTTCACAAAAGCGTAAAATGTCCCCCCATGTCTCCGCAGCCTCCCTGCCGCCGGCCGCCGCGCGGTCGCGGTAGTGTAGTGGTTAGCGTGCCCGCGCAGTATTCCAAAGGTCCCAAGTTCGAATCTATGCGGTGCGGAACTTTAATTGCAATTCCAAGCTGAATATACGCACATCCATAATAAATTATTATTCGTATAGCTAAACTGTCACCAAGCTATCCATATAAATTGACTTCACCCAAAATATCGGCAAGATTCTATTAAAATATAAATTCAAATATGGCGGCTTGGACTGCCGCGTGCGTTAGGCTCCGCCCATAGCTCCGCCCACATGCGTGACGTCATTCGTGTTAGTGGACACGCAGAGAGATAGGGGACGACATGGGCCTGCGTTGGCTCTGGAGCGGACCGAGCCAGCCCAGCTCTCTCGGTGCTCGCGGACTGGTTCCAAGTTCTCGGTCCGTTTCTCCGATGTAGACGACCGGGTCACCTTCTACCCGGCAGGAGCACTCGATGCAGTAGATGACATTGCTCTCCTGCTGCTTGGGTAGACGGTGCTTGGCTTGGCTACAGAGGAGGGTCCCGATGGTCTGCGACGGCTTCGACACGAGCTGAATGCCGATCTTGTTGGCTTCTCGCTTCAGTTGGTAGAAGCAGGGACCAGCGAACGGAACCGAGAGCCGGACGGGTGCAGGCAGCGGGCTGGGGTTCGGTGGCGACGGCAGAGCCCTGGCCTTCAGCTGGAGGTCCTTTTCTGTTCTTCTTAGGATCGGGTTGATGAACGAGAGAGGGTAGCCGTGTCGGTGGAATTTCTTGCCGGGTAGAAGGTGACCCGGTCGTCTACATCGGAGAAACGGACCGAGAACTTGGAACCAGAGTCCGCGAGCACCGAGAGAGCTGGGCTGGCTCGGTCCGCTCCAGAGCCAACGCTTCAGCGTTCAGCACGCACCGGGACTGCACGCCGGCCTTCGACGACGCCAAAATCCTGAACCGTGCCTGCCACCACCAGATGAGACTCCTTCTCGAATCGGCCTACATTCGTACCGTGGGACGGCGGGAAGCCGTCCTAGTGTCACCCAATGACGCGAATGTGAACCGCAACTCTGGTGCCCTGCTGCAAGACAGGTGGCTTCCCATTATTCGCCGTTTCTGCCGTTAAAAAGTTCATTTATAGAATTTATCATTTTGATATTTTATATCTTAGTCTAGTTTACTATTCGTGTTTTTGTAAAGCTTTATCTCTGCTTTAGGTACTGTTTGCACCTAATCTATGCAATTTTTTACATGTCATGAACTGTATTTTTACCTACCTGCCTATATTTTTGTATTAGATATTTTACTAGTGTGTTTTATACCCATTTTACAGGCTTTTTCTAGTAAGTGTGCATCCTGTTATTATTCACGTGTTTTCCCAGTGTTTGTATGTTTATTTCAAGACCAACTACATAGTTGCCTCAGAGACCCTCCTGTCCGACCCATATTTTGTTCGATCCGCACTGTACCTTCGATTCGATCTTAACATCCGATACGACTCTCGCTGACGAAGAATTGTAATACAATTCGAAAGCTCCGACCCAACGAACGTTTAATGATTTAGGGAGTGACGTTTTATGACGTTTTATTACGTCATACTGCAGCGTGAGTAGCTACATAGCCCACTTCCAGCTGAAGAAAAGTTGTTACATGAGTTTGCATTATACATTGGTAAAGTGTCTTCACTTGTTATTTATTACACTATGGTATCACCATGCCGATTTTGAAGAAAATCGTAGGGGCCGCCCCATTGACCGTAAATTTTCATTTTGGGTAAACTTTACCCTGGATGGGGTAATGGGTAAATTTTACCCCACCATTTTGTTTGGGTTTTCATGGGCTTTCATATGATACCCATATTGGGGGGATGCGTGCGATACACTTGCCATAAATGCGTGGGTAAAACGTTCAAAGGGCGTTTTTACCCCATATATTTCAATGCCCATAGAGGTTTCTTCAGCCAGATTGATCAACTCGGCCTGTAGTATCACCATGCCGGTTTTGAAGAAAATCGTAGGGGCCGCCCCATTGACCGAAAATTTTCATCTTGGGTAAACTTTACCCTGGATGGGGTAATGGGGAAATTTTACCCCGCCATTTTGTTTGGGTTTTCATGGGCTTTCATATGATACCCATATTGGGGGGATGCGTGCAATACACTTGCCAGAAATGCGAGGGTAAATCTTTCCAGGGGCGTTTTTACCCCATAGATTTCAATGCTCATAGGGGTTTCTTCAGCCAGATTGATCACCTCGGCCTGTAGTATCACCATGCCGATTTTGAAGAAAATCGTAGGGGCCGCCCCATTGACCGAAAATTTTCATCTTGGGTAAACTTTACCCTGGATGGGGTAATGGGTAAATTTAACCCCACCATTTTGTTTGGGTTTTCATGGGCTTTCATATGATACCCATATTGGGGGGATGCGTGCAATACACTTGCCAGAAATGCGTGGGTAAAACTTTCCAGGGGCGTTTTTACCCCATAGATTTCAATGCCCATAGGGGTTTCTTCAGCCAGATTGATCATCTCGGCCTGTAGTATCACCATGCCGATTTTGAAGAAAATCGTAGGGGCCGCCCCATTGACCGAAAATTTTCATCCTGGTTAAATCATGCTTTTGGTTGGATTGATCCGGTATTTAACCATATCATTAGGTCCGGGGTGAAGAGATCTTTCAAATGGTGGTCTTATTTTTCAGTTTCGCTCAGCCGTTTAGGCGTAAAACGGTTTCTAGATTATTCCCTAGATTTTTAGATTTTCCCTAGATTTGGCAGCCCCAATCTGGGCTGGGCCGAATGTGGGCTGAATGTGGGCTAACTTCCGTTACATCAAAACAATGGCGTTCTTTATATTTCGCCGGCGTGATCAGCAGCTTTTCCACCAATCCGAAGCGTCGAAAAATGGGGTTCTTTTGCAGGATTTGCACAAAATGCGGTAAATTACAGCATGGGGTAGTCTGGGTTGGTGAGACTGGATTATTTGCTTGGGGTTATATCGGTGCGGTAACTTACCGCTACCCCAAACGAGTTTACCGCACTTGGTGAGATGCACAAGTTCCTGCGCATGCGCACATTGCCTCAACCCTGTACCGGCGCAAGTTAGTTATAGGTACTGCTCACGGACTCGATCAGCCAATCAGCGTCCCCGATTGCATTAATATATGTCGCTAGCACCACGTAAATCCTGCTTGCGAACACGTTTTGAGAATGAAACAGCTGCGCCATTTCTGCCTTCCATTGATTTTTTCCATCTTCGTATCCACTATACGCTTTTCAACTAACTTAAGACTAAGTTTTAAACTATGGTTAGTATGTTATTCCTCGTATATATAATTTAAAAATAAGAGCTTTATGAATCTGGCTTTACTCGTCAGAATAAAATACTCTATTTTTTCCATATTAAAAAAAAATATCACCTTCCATGTAACCCATCCAGGTAAAATGGGCGCTTTCCGCGTCGTTGGTGTACCCATTGTTCTATATACCCTGATAGTACTCGGCCCTCGGCAGTCCTCTGAGTTAGACCCGCGCTCCGTCGGCCGCAGCATGTAGAGAAAACCGATATGCCCGGCAAGAGTTAGCTGAAACCTACGGGGCGCAGGCTGAATAGTGAATTCAGGGGTGTAACAACACCGACTCGGAACCAAAATCGATCTGCGAGAGCTGCATCCCAGACGAAGATGCCGTGATAAAATTGCTTTATTTCTACCATTGCAGCTCTCTTTGACATTAGCTTGTTGATGCGACCTTCATGGGCCGCTGGTGTCACTACGGCCGGCTAGCAGACGAACAGGAAGCAGACCTGCCTCTCGCAGCGCCCGTAGCCGCACGGCGCAGTGGTAGGGCGAGTACAGGCCGCCCGCAGCCGCACGACGCACTGGTAGGGCGAGTACAGGCCGCCCGCAGCCGCACGGCGCACTGGTAGGGCGAGTACAGGCCGCCCGCAGCCGCACGGCGCACTGGTAGGGCGAGTACAGGCCGCCCGCAGCCGCACGGCTCAGTGGTAGGGCGAGTACAGGCCGCCCGCAGCCGCACGGCTCAGTGGTAGGGCGAGTACAGGCCGCCCGCAGCCGCACGGCTCAGTGGTAGGGCGAGTACAGGCCGCCCGCAGCCGCACGGCTCAGTGGTAGGGCGAGTACAGGCCGCCCGCAGCCGCACGGCTCAGTGGTAGGGCGAGTACAGGCCGCCCGCAGCCGCACGGCTCAGTGGTAGGGTTCGCCCGAGTACGGTGAGTACAGTCTGCCGCCGTAAGCGCCGTACAAGCCGCGCTGCAAGTAGCCGCCGTAGCCGCCGTAGCCGCCGTAGCCGCCGTAGCCGCCGTAGCCGCCGTAGCCGCCGGCGGCGCTCCTAATACTGCTGCCGCTGACGTAGAAGCAGGCGGGCTGAGGTAGTGCGGCGCGCGCGTAGTCGGCCGACGGGGCGTAGGCCACGGCGTAACGCGGGTGGCCGGCGCCGAGCAGCGCGGGCCGGGCCGCCTCCGAGGTGGCCGAGCAGCAGCACACGCTACCAGGACGGTAGCCCGAGGAGCCGCAGGCAGCCCTGCCCATTGACGACGGCAAGGCCACGTACCCTGGCGGCACGCGCAGCAGAGGCGCCGGCGCCCAGGCCAGCGCCGAGCCTAGCACACAGATCACAGCGACGAGCACGCACAGCTGCCGGCGGAGGGGAGGGGCAGGAGGAAGTCAGTGGCTTGCACAGCTGAACGGTCCAGTAAACACTCCGTGCAGGTGCCAGACGAGGCGGCTGTCAGCTGGCGGGCTTTTCGTCCACCGGCCTGCTCGACCCTCGGCGTAAATCTCCGAGCTTTGGCTTCGGTACTGCTGAGCTCAGAACCTAATGTTGCACTGATCTGGTGACTACCCGTGTCGCCTGGTGCCCAACCTTTTACCAGAGATTTCTGGATTTAACGGTCATCTCAAGACCATCTAAAGCAAGGCCGTATAAGAGATCTAAAAGAGGCATGCAGTCATTCTCCCGAAAAGCAACGAGAAGCGGATTCTGAGTTACGTCACCGCTGACCCAGCCAAAGGGTACTCTCGTCCTTAGCAGCGCAAAAATGACTAATTTCATTCAAAGATTTTCGATATTACTCCCCGTTTATTGTTTTACTTCTGTATGCCTGAACCATTCAAATACACTAGCGGAGAGGTGTGGTGTTAACTTGTGCACCTAAACAATATTTTTGGTGTAATATTTTGACCACGGTCAAAATAAAAAAATAAAAAAAACATTTTGGGATGGTTTCGTTCAAAAATCGGCTGAGACAACTTATAGATCAAGGATGCGCGACGTGCCTTTGAGGGGTCTGGGCTCGATCGGATTGGTAGGGAGCGCGTGGCGTGTGCTCAAAAAGTGCAAATTCGCGTCATAGACTTAACATGTATAAATCGGCTTGCAAAATCGGGCGAAAATGGCTAAATTTGCCCGACACGGGTCCGATCCCCGTTCAATAGCTCGGTAACCGTGGGCCCGATCGGTACGGGGAAAACAGCATCGTGTAGAGAATCCAACGGGCTATTGAATGGTGTGCGGTGCAGCGGATGGCACGCGCCACGTGCACCCGTGAGGATACTTTTAATGGAAAAATTGTGGTTTTTGACGGATTTTGGAATTATTTTATTTTTAGGTGACCGTTAAATGGAGCGAGTTGAAACAACGCCTATTTGCAAGAGAAATGTACCGCCTCTCATATAAAAATTGTGAAAAGCTGATTAATCCAAATCAAGGTGGTGCAAATCACAGGAGAAAATGGTGTTTGTCAATGATATGCCACTTAATTAATTACACGGGTTTTGCTGCATAACCTGATACCTTTGGCAATTGAATATGGTACCATTGGATAGAGCATTCAATTCTGTCCCATATTCACTCTTCATTTTTGCATGATGAGCAACAGTTTTCTTAAAAATGTAAATGTATAAAACCATTACATTGCCATTTTAGCGAAATTCATCGATGGCCCTCAAAAGACTTCATGCCAGTTTTCGAATCATTCTTAAAGGGAGATTATCATCATCATCATCATCATCACATTTATTTGCATCACACACACAATGTGAGGTGACAAGGTGAGGTGACAGTTCTAACAAGTAGCAGTACATATACATACATTGGGCCAGGTAGGTACATACATTAATGCCTGCAGAGCAATGCTAGGCCACGCAGGAACATTCACAAGAGCCAATCATTGGACATTCTAAAACCATCGATAGTATCCTTTAGTTCAAGCTGTGTGCCTGTGTGCTTTCATTTGTGACTGTTATGAGCCTAAGAATTTTACGCGAATGAGAGCAAGTGCTGTTAAGCAGGAATTTGATTGTGTCCACAATTCCATCATTCATACAAGAGCCACGAATAAGCTCACCATCAATATTGCCACATGCTATGTTCATTGTAACTTCAAAATTATTATTTCCGAGGCTATGTGTAAAGCTCAAGAATGATCCGTCTAACTCTGAAGGCGTAGTAGCTAGGACAGCAAGGCTGCGAATCATTATCTGCTTAAGCCTATGATCCGAGCGAAACAGATGAGCAAAGCCGCGAAGCGTAAGCGATCGGAGAAGCTCTTGAACCTTAGGAATGCCAAGCGCTGACATTAGGGCAGAATGATGAGCATACACAGGGAGCCCAATGGCTGCCTTTATACTAGAAGATTGAAATAATTCCAGGTTACTTATGTCAGCAGCTCTCAGTGGAGCAACGATGCTCCCAGATGTCAAAGAAGGGGCTATAATCGTACGCCATAGAAAAGCTTTGTCTAAAGCAGACATAGCCTTGCTAAACATTCCTGCAGGTGTGAGCCCGTAAAAAGCTCCACGGGCACGTTTTACTCGAGACCGCGCATGCGCTGAGCCACGTAAATCAGTGCTGATGGTCACACCTAGATGCTGTGTTTCAGAGCGGATAGATAACTGCTGACCGGCCAATTGCCATGTAGGCAGCTCAGCTAAATGTTCAGCACCGAAGACAAGGCAATGACTTTTAGTTTTAGACTTATCAGGGTGAGTGAATTCGAGTCTCCAAGTGCCCGCGAACTCCCCCACAATGCTTAAAAGATGACCAAGACTCATGGAGTTCGTAGAGACAAGCATTATGTCATCAGCGTAACAAATCGAGGGGACATGATATCCCATTAGTTCAGCCCCAAGTCCACTATGATCAAGAGCCTGTATTAATGGACGAAAAAATATGTTAGCCAGTACTGGGGAAAGGATGGCCCCTTGCCTCGTTCCACGTTCTAGTGGGAAACTATCGGAACGAATGCCCATAAAGTCAATTTTGGCAGTAAGCTTGCGATACCACGAGAGAAGCAGACACCACGAGCGATTCTCAAGCAGATCAAGAAGACGAAAGAAAAGACCGTCATGCCAAATGCGGTCAAAACACTTTCTGGCGTCTAAATTAGCGACGAATACAGGGGATCCCCTTCTTAAATGCCACTGGACAGTCTCAGTAAACAAAAGAGAGGCTTCGGCTGTTCCACGCTGTGGAACAAATCCAAACTGTAGATCGTGTGGAACGAACGATGTTTCAATTTCCTCTAAAAGCATTACCTCTAACAATTTAGAGAAAGTTGAAATAAGTGAAATTGGTCTATAATTGTCCATATCACTTGGGTCAAGTCCAGTTCTTTTAAGCAGAGGCTTGATGATGCTGGTTGCAAATGATGAAGGGACATCCAATCTAGCAAAGCAAGCTGTAAGGAGGTGAGCTAACACGGCAAGCAGTTCAGGCGTGGAGCCATACAGCAGGTGCTCTGTGGTGATTCCGTCTGCTCCTGGAGCAGAATTACGCCTAAGGCGCAATATAAATCGGGAAACATCCGATGCGGTAACAATACGAGGTTCGTCACCACTGCACCCAGCCTCTAAACGAGCAGATACAGCATCGCGGATCCAGTGCTGGTTTGGTGACAATTCAGCTACGTTGTCCTGATGAATACGAGAAAAATGGGATCTGAAGCTGTCTGCGTCTACGGAGCATTCAGTAACCGTCACACCTCTCCGAGCACTACTAACATGTCGCCAAAAGGAGCCTAAACTTTCCCCACGGCGAAGCTTGTGTAACAGCCGTGCCTCATGATCAATTTTCGATCGAGACGCATGCTTCCGCTCGCGCCGGTAGGCCCGTCTTGCTTCGCGATAGCAGTTATGCACATGCGTGTATAGCCGCTTACCAGATTCATGCCAGAGGTAAAGCCAAAACCGGGCTCTATCACGCGCTGAGGAAACGCGGGGGTTCCACCATTTTTTAGCAGAACGTCTCGGCTTTGCACACCCAGAGTCACGAGCTGCAGCATGAATGCAAGAGCTGATAAATGTATCTAATCTATCCAGTTCTATAGAGCTGCCTAATTGTGGCGAAGCTACCAAGTAAGTCGCAAGTAACGTTTTATAATGGTCAATAGCTTCTTTAGAATTCCAAATAGGGACATAAGAGAGGACAGAGGGATCAAATCTGCGAACTGGAAGGCAAGATACAACAGCAAGTCGCAAATATAGACTTAATGTGGCAATGACTGGAAGGTGAGGGCTTAAGTTATCAACTGATGGGCTAAGAATCATACAATTCGTTAGAGATGGTAGCAAACACTGTGGCACAACAATGTGATCAATATGTGAAGAGCCGCCTGCCCTATCATAAGTGACAGACTGTTTCTGAGGAAACTGGAATTCGGACACAACCAAATGGTGATCATCAAGTAGCTCCTGCATAAGAGCGCTGAGTGGTGAGAAACCACGCAAATTGTGCCAACCATTAGGCCTGTGAACACTGGCCAATCTTGGTAAGGCGCAATTAAAATCCCCTACAAGAAGCACAGGGGACGCAGAGCGAAATGCGGTTATAATTGCATCTAGTTTGCCTAGCAATTCAGTGTAACGTAATTTGCTATCACTGGTCGAGTCCCAAAATGGCATATAACACCCAATTACCGTTAAACAAGGATCTGAATTATCATATACAGTGACACCACATAGCCTTACATCTTCACAGAGTACTTGGCGGTAGCGCAGCCCAGGGCGACCGCGACAAATAAATGCTACCCCTCCGTGTCGTCTACCAGCATAGGGACCAGGCGGGTGTTCCATGGCTGATTCTTGTACACAAAAGTAATTGCCTTGGCGATGTTCAAGAAGCAGCCTAGGCAACATACATTGTTCTGAACTGGCTAGCCAAGTTTCGCATAAAAACAATAAATCGCATTGGTTGATAAGTGTGCAGACGTACGGAACAGCCGACAAAAAACCTTCACAATTATATGTGCCTATGGTGAAGGGGATGTTCTCAGTTCCAAACCTGGATTGGCCGCTCGTTGCGCTGGGCCCCTCGCCGACTGCCACTGTTGGAGTACTGAGGCACTCTGCCACCTCTCTGGCGAAACCCGCTGCCTCCGTTGGGGCGGGACTGGTGCAGCTGGCGTCGAGGTGCAGTTGGAGCGCTCGATGATGGAAATGGCTGATGCTGTGCTGTTTCCTCGATCAAAGGACTGACTTTAAGGCCCAAGGGCCAGTGAGCCGCCTCCAGGACTTGAGATGAGTCACTTGAATCAACGTCGATGCGGTATGACTTAGTCCCCGCAACAGCTTCGCTATAGGTAGTCACTTGCGTTAGGTTGCGTAAGGACGTCACCCGCTGCGTGATCATGCTGTGC